TCATTGGGAGGTCCCTAGCTTCCACCTGCCCTCTAGAGTTTCTGGGAATCTCTGGAAATATACTTTTCTTATTGTACTTGGAGTTTTCTGTTCTTCATATGGATAGAGGGACAAGAAAAGTGGTTCTCCACCAAAGCCCAGTCCTCCTCCCAACACACTCCATCTACACAGGCACAAAAGGACTCACCAGGATGAGGATGACCCGCATCCCATCAGCCCTCATGCGATTGATCAGGGCTGGAAACCCAGCAAACTTGGGGCTGAGGGTAAAGTCCAGCTGGCGCTCCATGTAGTCAATGTCTGAGTACTGCACATCCTGGGGGAGGACACAAGGAAACAGTGGCTGCTGGTGCTGAAAGTCCAGCTCCCAGAGGAGAACCACTCTCCCCTACTGATGGTGAATTCAAATGGCTTCCTTTTACCCTTGTAAATCCCTGTTCCATCATTTCTTCTTTATGGATCCTTAGAAATCATTTAATTTTTCAAGTTTTCACTCATAGAAAAAAGATCCTACTCAGCCAAAACTAGGATAATGATTCCTGTCAGAAAGGATTGTTGTCAGGATAAATAAAATCACCAGATGAAATATTGTTTTGTCAATAGCCACATAGGAATTATTGTAGGGGCTGGACATACTGTCAATGGTTCATGTTCAGAAAAAGAAAACAATTCACTCCTAATAAAATAATAAAATAAGGAATTATAAATATACTATAAACAAGCCAAAGAAAAACTTGTAATTGCTTTAAACTCTATAATCATGGGGTTAATCACACATAGTTTTTTCATTAAAATGGCCTATATCAAGTGATGTCCTCTCCATTCATGGAACAATTGTATACCACAGGAAAGGAAGTCCAATAAAATTAAGTATGAAATTGGTCCACAGGATAAGCTGATACTATTGCACAGCTCTTGTCCTAAAGGGAAGCACAGACTTTCTTCTAGAGTCTACCCCAGGATCCCTATGTTCAGACATTGATTAATTTAGGGCTATGGCACATTATACTGTAGCACTCATAAGGTATGGGACTGAAGACACGTCTACATACACAATGATCTGAGAATGAGGTAAGTTTTTCAATTAAAGCAAACTATTGTCGAGGGAGATTTTATTCTTATGGAACCATAGACTTTCAGAATAAATGTCTTCAAGTCATGTAAAAGCAATTCAAGGAAGCACGCTACAGCAGAAAATGTCCTGGAGTCTGCTCTACCTCCTTTGATAGTCGCAAGTGCCATAACATGGACCTTGGCATCCCTCTGTATAACTGTGCTCAGATGAGGCTCAGTGTGGCATCATGTCAAAAAGCACTTTATATCTTTGCAAAATCTCAAAAAAAAAAAAACCCAATAAGTATATCCAAACACAGAGATGCCTGGGTTAGCTACAAATCACAGAGCCAGTGCACCATGACTCAGACATACATAAGGGATCTGGGCAGCCACCATCTCCTCATACAAGCTGGCGATCTCAGAGTCATTCTCATATCCATAGCGACACAGCTGGAAACCCAGGGACCAATAAGGTACCATTACAGGCCGTCCAATCACCTAGAAAATGGACAGAGCAGAGCATATTAGTCATATATATACATATACATACATATATATATATATATATATATATATATATATATCTTTGTATTTACTGATGTAACAACTTTTGCCAGTAGTCTTTGTTTCTTCATGTTGATTTCTCATAGGGCAGGTCTGCTAACAATGGATTTTTTTTAGTTTTTTTTTCTAATTTGTTCTTTTTAGTTATACCCAACAATAGAGTATATTTTGACATATTTATACAAACATGAAGTATACCTATAAATAGGTTCCCAATCTTGTGTTTGTACATGATGTGGAGATTCACTGTGATGCATTTATATACGTACATAGGAAAATTAAGTCAGATTCATTCTACTTCATTTTAGTCTTTATAAGAGCAGACACATTAAAAGTATACACAAAATAATAAGAATATACTACTCTAAGTTAGAAAAATCAACAAATTAAAAGTGAAAGCGAACCTCAGCAGATGCAAAACCACTGGGACACCTTGAGAAAGCTTGCTAGAAAGGAGATCCTTCTCCTAGAATACTGGAAAAATCTAAATTTGCTCTCATTCCTAGAAGTACCTAGGTTATTGCTGAGAAGAATAGAACCCATGGGGGAAATGCCTGGTTTTGCACAAAGGCTCTATGTCCTGCTGATTCTTTGACCTTGTTCAAATTTAAGTAAACATTTTAGGTTTTCAGTTTCTTTACTTGTAACTTGAAGATAATACTAGTGTTTGTCTCAAAACATTTTTATGAGACTGAATGAGTTAATAAATGTAAAGTGCTCTGATATGTAGTAAGTAACAGGTAAGAGTTTGTAGTATTATATTAAAGTTTTTCTACCCAACAACTGCCACTGTCACCACCATTCCCTATCAACATCAACCCATCACCACCAACATAATCATCAGGCCTCAAATTATCACCATTATCACATCATTACCACCACATTCACCACCACCACCTTCACCTCTCCATCATGACTACCACTTAACCATTACCACCAAAACTATCCCCACCACCATTACCACTCACCTCAACAGTGACCATTACCCTCATTACCTTCACTGCCATATCACTGCACTGGCATAACCACTACCACCCCATCATAACCACTACCAATATCACCACCTACAATACCACCATCAGTGTCACATCAACAGATCTACCATCACCCACACTACCATAATTACCATCACCATTACCTTCATCAGCCTTCCACCATTTTCATAAACATGATTACCACCACAGTCCCCATACCATCTTGTCCACCATCACAAGAGCTGTACCCACAATCTCTTTTTCAACTATCAACATTGTAATCCTTCATCTGTTTATCAATCCACCAGCATCTCCGACTCCCACTTTACTCAGCATGCCACTTTTACCATGTCTACTCCTGATACACTGAAATTTTTAGGTTATGAATATAAGAAGTATTGGAAAGTTTTCATTTGTCCTGAATCTGTAACCTGCCTGTCTCTAAGATACACCAACAATTCTAGTAATCACATAGTGTTATACTAATGAATACAGGTTTTAGAATATTTAGGATGTGCTGCACAAATATATGATTTCCAAATGAATTCCCTCCTACCTCAGTGTACTGCTGGGTGACAAGCTCTGGAGTTGGCCCCAAGAACATATAAAAGTCCAGAATTCCCCCTGTGGTGCGGTATGTGAGGGCAGGCGTAGGCTGGAATGTCACATCTGAAAAGATCAGAAAGTGACAAATGACAACCAAGATGGAAACCTTGAGGGTGAGGAATTACCTCTAAAATCTATATGTTTTATCTCTTGCCTTATAGAGTATTAAGAGAAGTATTACCCATCCAGTATTGTAGAAGTTCATTAAAAGATTACAGGGTTCCAGGGTCCCATCTCTGCATGTTTTCCTTTGGTATATCTTATTACTTTATGATGTTTACTTATTATGTTGTTTTAAAATTGTTATACTGACTTGATCACTTAAAACTCACAAAAAGTTTGAAAATTAATGCTAAGAGTTTCCAAGTATATGTCACCCAGCTTCCCCCAATGACAATGCTCACATAACCATTATAGACTATAGAAGCAGAAAACTGACATTAAGAAAATATTAACTCAGGCATGGAGCCTATTCAGATTTCACCAGATTTTACACACATTTCATTTTCCCAGACTCCTGATTTTTCTCCTGTTCCCTATATTCAAAATATTTTCTTCCCATATTCATAGTCACCAAATGAGTTTTCTGACTCATAGCTTAATAATTAATTTAAATAATGTATCTGGTTATCACCAACTGACCTTCAGGATATACAGGATTCAATTAGGATTGATATCCTTCTTAGGTGAGTGTTGCCAAAACAAGAATTGGATTTAAACTTGTTGTCCCATGGACCAAATTTAACATAAAAAGAAACTGCCACCCTCAAGATACTACTTTTGACATCAGGATGCTCATAGGTCAAATAAATTCTACAGTTACACAAGATAATTGATTTGAATACAAACTAAGAGGAGCCCTGGCATCATCCTACCCATGGCATTGCTGTTCAGCAGGAGAACTCCATGGGCACTGCCGTCCTCCTCTAGTCCCATGTAGTAGGGGTGGACGCCATAGGAATTCTTCTTGTACTGAGAGTCACCAGGGAGAAATCAAGGAGGTTAGAAGTCATTGTGCCTGAGAATGTAACTCAAGAAAAATTTGTTCACTAAATGAATCTGATCTTTTCTCTGAAATGAGTTAAATACATAAGAAACACACATGAAAAATGACCCAAAAAGAATTTTAAAAATGTAAGTTGAGTCTGGTTTCATGTAGCACAAGGTGATCATGATATGGGAAGAAAGAGGCAGAGTACTGATCCAGAGTACTCTCTGCTTACCCCGGGGGGTTCATCTCTGGAAAACATGCCCCACGTGTGCCAGTTCAAGTCTCTCCTGAAGGCTGTGTGCTCATTTTCCCCAAAGCCATAGATGTACTTGGAGGGCAGGCGGGTGGAGATGCGGATGAACATGTCATTGAAGGTGAAGCCAAGGAGCTGAGAGTCCCAACTGCAACACACACAAAAAAAGGGTACATTCAGAAAAGAAAATCACCTTGCCTATTGCCTTCCAAATGTTAATTTTCTTTTTCTTTAATTATTTTTTATTTTTAATTTGTTCTAACTACTTATAATACATGATAGTAGAATGCATTTTGACACATTGTACATAAATAGAGCACAACTTCTCTTTCCTCTGGCTGTACATGGTGCAGAACACACTGGCAGTGTAATCATACATGTATATAGGATAAAAATGACTGTCTCACTCCACTGTTCTGCCCATCCCCACACCCAATCCCATCCCCTCACTCACCTCTGCACAATCCAAAGTTCCTTCATTCGTCCCTACCTTCCTGCATTATGGATCAGCATCCGATTATTAGAGAAAACATTCGGCCTTTGGTTTTGGGGGGTGGATTATTTCACTAAAACTGACTTTTCAAGGACATTGGAAACTTTGATTCTCCCACAACTGAGAATCCAATCATCTCCCAACTCAACACAAAGTCTGTCTGATTAATCACAGATATCCTTGCAGTAACCCCAGCAGTGGCCCTTCATATTCCTGTTCCTTCTTACACACCCTTCTTTCATTTCTCCTACCAAGAAACCAAATTCAGTCATGTCTTACCATCTCACCTACTACCACTCCACACAACTTCCTGCGGGCATCCGGAATGATATGTTTAAAAGTATATTGTGTCATTTCACCAACCTGTTTAGGCCCTTCAGTGTCTTCCCATGAAAACACCCCATGAAGCCTTCCAGGCTACATCTGATCCAACCCACCTAACATCCCAGTTTCCTCTCCTACCACCCACTTCCTTTCTTACTACTGTGGACTGGTTTATTCCCTTCACTATTCAAGTTACCTCCTGTTTCATTGTTCCTGCTCCTCCTATTCCCTCCATGAGAAACATTCTTTCCCTTCTCTCAGAGATACACATGGGAGGTTCTTTCTTCTCTTCTATGTCTTTTTCTCAAATGTCAATTCCTTAATGAGAGAACTAACTTGATGGTATCAAAAGCAATAGCATCATTATAACTCTTGAGTATCCTGCACCACTTTTCCTACAGACAGTTTTCACTGTCTCAATTTCCTTTTAATGTTGTCAGATAAATTATTTTCATTGTAATTTGGCCAGAGAATTCATGTATCCATAAACACAATATCTAAAACGGTAGCTACCAAACAATTCCCATAAGAACAGAGCTGAAGGAAATAGTTTATGTATGGATCTTGAAAAATGGCAATGTGAGGTTTAGAGCCATTGGACCTGGAAAGGAATAGACAGGTACTCAACAGCTGTAAATCAAAAGAGGAGCCACTTACATTACAGTGCCTGTACTCTTCCGGCGAATTTCAATTCCAAATGGATTCTCCTTAATGAGGACATCATAGAGTCGATTCTCGGAGGTGCTGGATGGAGCCCTGGGAATGTTCAGGGGGACTGGGACTTCATACCGACTATTGTTGGGATCATAAATCTAGGCCAGAGGAAATCAATTTTAGGTAAGGATACAGATAGGAGGAATGAGCTTTGGTATTCTATTATACAGAGAGTGATAACAATATTCAAAATAACTAGAGGAAAGGATACCCAATGTTCTCATCACACACAAATGACAGATGTTTGATTGATGCATGACCTGCTCATTCTGAATTGATGAAATTACAGAATGTATATATGGATCACATATCACAATTAATACCATAAATGTGTAAATAATTATCTGGTTAAATATAATTTAGGCAAGAATTCTACTCTTTAAATCCACCCCCTTAGCAGAACCATGACATCTTAGACAATGTGTCTAGATGTTATCCTTCATGACTTCTTTAAGTTTACGATAACTGAGATTGACTTAATACATAAAAGAACAAAATCAGATTTAAAATTTACTCTGAGTCTGTCATATTCATTGTTAAGGCTTCCATTACACTCTATGGTTCCTTTGACATTGGCATCTACTTGAAAATTATTCCAAAATCAGAGCTGTATTTAAGAATGATTTCTGAATTATTTTTGTGTGTGAATATCTAAGGGGATGTGATTTCCTGAAATTTTTTTCAGAATTGTTTCCTCCCAAATACAGGAATTCTTTTTTGTTTTTTTAAGTTGTTAATGGATACAATACTTTTATTTTATTCACTTATTTTTATGTGGTGCTGAGGATTGAACACAGTGCCCTACATGCTAGGCAAGCATTATACCACTAAGCCACAACCCCAGCCCCCAGGAATTCTTTTTGATAAAAATAAACAGAAAATTGCAGAAATGATATACAAATTGATGCAGTGAGTGCCTAGGATAAATATATCCTAGTATGATATCATATTAGACACTAAAGAAATGACCTGAATTTTGTAAGTTTATTATTTTGGAAAATTTACATTCTAATTGGAAATAATTAGAAAACCTAGAAGAAATCGATACATTTTTAGACACTTATGATCTGCCAAAATTGAATCAAGACATAGAAAACTTATACAGGGGGCTGGGGATGTGGCT